AAGAGCCCCAGGACCTCTCCAGTCTGGTTTCCTTTACTGGCACCACTCAGCCTGCTGAAGCCACACATTTTCCAGGGGAACTCGCTGCTCCCCCAGCCCTGCCCTGCCCCTGCCCACAGCCGTTGCCTCGGGCTCGGAGGGGAGCTCGGGGATGCCCGGAGCTGCATCCCGGGACTTTCTGCTCTACATGGGCAAAGTGTCCTCTTCTGCCAGTGTGGAAATCCCTGCTAAGGACTGTGGAGGCCGACCTTTCAGGTCCGGTGCTGCCCAGGGGCAGCGGCATCTCCTGGACTGCCAAAGCTCCGTCCAGAGCGGGGAGATTCCGGTGACACTTGGCATGGAGCCCTGGCAGTGCCAAGGGTGCGCCGGGGCTTTCGGCTCACCAGGAGGAGAGCAGGGGCCAGGTAAGGAGGATTTGACACTCCAGTGCATCCCAGCCGAGGTCTGCAGGGTCGCTGCCATGCTAATCACAACAGGAACATGGCAGGTTTTGCTTTATTAAAGCTTTTATTGACCCGTTTTTAGAATAAGAGAATCTGCGACGCAGATCACAGAGCTGCTCAAGAGGTTTTTACATTCATTACGAAATGGCTTCCTGGCGTGGACTGAGCTTCTGCTGGGCTCTTCAGCCACGGTCCCCAGGTGTCTTCATCACCTCCGGGGACACCGACACAGCGGTGAAGCCCCCTGCCCTGCCTGAGGGCAGCATCCCGGCGGCTCCGTTCCCTTCCTGCCCCATGGGATGCCACTGCCCTAGTGAACGGCGGGAGCCAACCCCACCCTGTTATTTCCACGGTCAAAGACGGAGTAAAACTGACGGATGAAAACGTCACCCAGAATCCAGAGGGGTCCAGCGGGAGGGGAGATGTCCAGCCCCTGGAAGCCGCTGGTGCAGAAGGCCATGCCGTCGCTGTCCTCCTGGGGAAGGAGAAGGGAGAAGTTGGAGACGAATCTGTGAGTTTCATGCACATGGAAACATGCAGGAATGGTGACTGCAAGTCCTGTGCACGAAGCAGTGGGGCTCGTCACCCGCCGGGACATGTGGCTCAGCTCCTGGGGTGGCTCGGGGCCACCTGTGTCTCCAGAGCCACTTTTCCAACCCGGCGGATGGGAACTGGGAGCAGTGGAGATGCAGCCGTACCATGAGGGTGTAGGCCTGAGCACTGAGCGTGTAGGGCAGCCCGTTGATGGTGAAGGTCACGCTGGGCATCACGGAGAGGTTGCTGCACTCCACGGCATACTGCGAAACAGCCGGGCGGGTCAGTGGTGCTGCTCCATGGGGATCCCTCCTGGTGGGGTGAGGATCCCAGGACTTTGCCCCCTTCTCTCCCCACCCTCACTCTCACCTCTCCATCCACCAGCATGGCACCAATGTAGCCTTGCAATTCTTTTATATCCTTGGTGGGACCTGTGATGAGTGACGTCCCGGTGTCCACGATGGCCTGGCAGCCGTTCATGCAGAAAGCAATTGTCTCACCCACCTGGATGCTGGAGGAGAAGGAAAAAAAGAAGGAGCAGGAAGGTCTTGTCCTGTCCCTCTGCCCCAGCCCAGCCCTTCCCTCCCTGCCCAGCGCCACTCACTTGTCCAGCTGGATCTGCCAGTAGCCTTGCTGGGTGACTGGCACCCAGTTCAGGGTCCCCTTGAAGCGGGAGGGGTCAAAGCCCCCAAAAAGCAACTCTCCTCCCAGGGAGGATTCAGGGTTCCTGGAGGGAGACAGAGGAGATGTGAAGGATTTCCTGTCTTTTACTCTGCACATCACAATTTAAACGGATGGATTTATACCCACTCGATTCCCACGAATTCTTATGGCCATTCGCTTTATTCCTGTAAGACCTGAGGTCTGTGGTGCTCACCATGGACCAAAACAACCCTTTACTATCTCAGTAAAACATCCTATTTCAGCAGCCCCCCCCTGAAAATAATGCCTGAGTCGAAGCAACAGCCTGGAGCAAAGCCGTGCCCGTACGTGCTCATGTAGACGGAGAATATGGGCAGCTCCACCAGATTTTGTGCCATCATGTTGTCAAAGACAGGGGTGACCCCATCCACGGCCAGTGAGGGGTAAGCCAGCCCCAGGATCCCATCGAACTCGGCATCTAGGAAGGCTTTTCCCGGCTCGCTGACACTCTCTGCAAACTGCTGGTTGTTCACGGTGAGGCCCTCGACCTGCGGAGAGGAGGAGGAGGAGGAGGCTGGATGGTGATGCTGAGTCTTTAGGCAAGTCCCGAGCACATCAGCCAGAGCAGGAGAAACCAAAGGTGACTCACGACTACTTGGTCGGATCCGATGACCCCCCTCAAACTGCCGGTCCCATACTGGATGGAGAAGGGGGTCCCTATCACCTGGTACGTGCTGGACTCTGACGGCTGAAACCTGGTGTGCCCGGCTGGGGAAGGAGACAGGAGCTGTCAGCAGAAACACTATTGACCTGCATGGCCACGGATGCCAGGAGTCCGCGTCCTGGCCGGCAGCAGCGGCCGGCCTCGGAGCAAACTGATGGGGCAAGGTGGCATCTCCAGAACGCCGCCGTCACGGGCACGCTGCCCAGGGAAGGAGCTGCTCATGAGACAACAGGGCACGCCGGCGTTTTGAGGAGCGATAAAACTTACCCCGTTTCAATCTGCCAAAGGTGCGAGGCTATTTAAGAGGAGTGGGATTACCTCGTGTGATATTTTTATGAGACCTGAAGATCAGCGCTGCTGTTCCTGTTTTACAGACACAAGCAGCCCCACGGGCACTGCTGTACCCAGCTGTTTTCCCCAGCCCCCCTTGGGCTGTCTTGGAGGGGCCCTGGG